AGCCTATCCAAGAACAATATATGGCCAGCTAATTTTTGACAAAGGTGCTGAGAGTATCAAATGGAGTACAGTCTCTTCAACAAATGGTGCTGGCAAAACTGAATAACCATGTGCAAAGAATTAAAACTGGATCTGTACCTCACACTTTAGACAAAAGTCAATTCAAAGTGGATCAAACAAGAATCTATGAAAATATCCCTAGCTATTCCCATCACTGAGAGTTGTCTTTATTAATAAATGCCACTGTCAAAGGAAACAGACTCAAAAATAAACAAACAGGACTACATTAAATTACATCTTTTGCATGGCAAAAGAAATACAGGGTAAAACTAAAAGACAGCTAACTGAATGGGAAAAAATATTTGCAATGAACATATCAGATAAAGGGCTAATATCCAAGACATAAAAAGTAGTCAAAATGATCACTGGACATCCCATTACTCATCATTTTGCTCGAGCAGGCACCAGTAACGTCTCCATTAGGGAAATCAAAATCAAGACAATAATGAGATACCATATCACACCAGTGAGAATGGCACATACCAAAAATGATGGGAACAATCTGTGTAGGTGGGAATTTGGTAAAAAAGGAACTCTCATCCACCATTAGTGGAACTGTTGTCTGGTTCATCCCCTGTGGAAAATAGCATCGAGGTTCCCAGTAAACTTAAAATTGACCTACCTTACAACCCAGCAATTACACTTTGGGTATCTACCTCCAGGACAGAAAACCATTCATTCAAAATGATATATGCTCACCACTAGTCACTACACCACTTAGTACAATAGCTAAGACTTGAAACCAACCTAGATATCCAACAACAGATCAGTGGATTGTGAAGATGTCTCACACACACACACACACACACACACACACACACACGATAGAATACTACATCTGTAAGAAATAAATAAATCAGGCAATTTTGATGGAATTGGGAGATAGTATGTTAAAGGAAGTAAGCCAGAGGACAAAACCAGGATGATATCAGTTATATGTAATGTTTATATATACATCTATATATTATATTCAGAGTAACTGGATGAGGAATTAAATGGTTTAAGGGAGATGCCTAGATCACCCTTTATCCCACAGTACAGGGAGAAGAAGCTATGAAATAGAATGAAGGGGAAAGGGAAAAAAGATAGATGAGAAGCAATGGGGGCAGGGGGCAGGGGCATTCAGATACATTGGTCGTGTTAAGCTGAATATCCAAACCACAGAGTGAATAACACTGAAATTATGAGAACCAAACGTTAATAACCAAATTTTAAAGGTACCTGTCTAGACTGCCGGCTGAGGTCTGGGCAAGTGCGGGAGGAGAGGGAATCAGGGAACACTGGTAGAAGGAGGTTGTTGACACTGGTGGCAGGATTGGTGATGGAACACTGTATGTCAAAAACTCAATGATTTGTAATTCACAGTGATTTACTAAAATAAAATTTGGGGGTAAAATAAAAGATAAATGCATCCTATAAAAATCATTATCAAGGCGCATATGCTGCCCGAGTCCATATGCTGCTTGCGCCCATGTGGCCAAGCACATTCGGCGCCTAAGCACATGTGTCGCCCGCATCTCCCCTCTTGAGATGTGTACTTTCATGCTTTCATGTCTAATGTTGGGATGTGTGCAGGGGCTCTCTCCACCCTTGGAGAAGCCCACATTCTCTCTTGAGCATGTTACATGTCTGTCTGTCTGTCTGTCTGTCTGTCTCTCTCTCTCTCTCTCTCTCTCTCTTCCTCTCCACACCTTCAAAAACCCTTCAAATAAAATCGGTTTTACTTCAAAAAACAAAAATCATTATCAATATCAAGACTGAGTTGTACTTCTATATGCTAACAATAAACTACATGAGAAAGAAATTTTAAAAATCAATCTCATTTACAATACATACTTAGAAACAACTAGCCGTTTAGTAATAAATTAAACCAGGAGGGTGAAAAATCTGTCCACTGAAACATATAAGAAAGTAATAAAATTAATGGAAAACAAAAATACATTAAAAGATACCGTGTTTTCTCTGATCAGAAAAATTAATGTTAAGTTACAATACCTAAGACTGTCAATATTAATGTCTATCAAATCTCCAATTTCAAATGTATAGGGGAAAATGCTAACATTTTTATTAAACTACAAAAGGTCCCACATAGCCAACCTTCATCTCAAGATGAAATCAGAAGCTCAAACTTTCAAATTTCAATCTATGCTACAAAGATATGGTAATCAGGACAGTATACTACTGGCATTAAAAAAAGACTTAAAGGCAGAGAGTCAAAAACACAGAAATGAACTTCTATGTCCAAAATCAAACAATATTTGAAAAGAGAGCCAAGCCAAGTATACTCAGCAGGGAAAGCAGAGTCTGTTCAATAAATGCTGCTGGGAAAACTTGATATATAGAGGAATGAAATAGTGTCCCTATCTCATAACACACACACACAAACACACACACACACACACAAAACTCTAAACAAAACAAAGGTTTACATGATCTAACTGAAACCATAAAAATCTTAGAAAAAAATAAGGAGAAATTCATTCATATTGGCCTTGGCAACAAAATTTTTATATGATATCAAAGCAAAAAGCAGCAAAAATAAATATGTGGGACTACATAAAACTTAAAAAGCTGCTGTGTAGTCTGTCTGTCTGTCTGTCCTCCCGTTGTTCATCGATTTGCTCAAGCGGGCCCAGTAACGTTTCCATTGTGAGACTTATTGTTACTGTGTTTGGCATACTGAATACTCTCGGTAGCTTGCCAGGCTCTCCAAGAGGGGCAGAGGAATTGAACCTGGCTTGGCCGGGCCGGCTGTGCGCAAGGCAAACGCCCTACCCCTGTGCTATCACTCCAGTAAAATGAAGACACAAGCTACAGAATGGAAAGAAAATATTCAAACTAATAAGGGAGTTAAATCCAAAGTACATAAGGAACTCATAACTCAAAATCACTAATAATCTTATTTTACAATACAGGAGGAGCCAGAGAGATAGTTGGACATGCCAGTACTTATGCTTTGCATGCAGACGACCCAGATTCCATCTGATACCAAATGGTCTCCCAAGTACCACAAGGAGCAAGCCCTGAATATCATCAGGTGTAACCCAGAAACAAAACAAAATTGAGGACTTGAAGAGACATTTTACAAAGACACTCAGATGGTAAACAGGTACAAGATTTAAAAAAAGTTCAACTTTACTGATCATCAGGGAAAGGAAATCAAAATCATAATAAACTATCCTCTCACATCAGAATGGCTATTATAAAAGGACAAGATACTTATGTATTGGTGAGAATGTGATGAAAAGGGAGTCCTTATACATCACACATTAGTAGTAGAAATGCAAACTGATAAAACCACTATGGAAAAAAGTATGAAGGCACCTAAAATATTAAAAATATAACCATCATATGACTCAGCAATTCATTTCTGGGTGTATCATCAAAGAAAATAAAATCTCTTATTTCAAAAAGGTTATTTGCAAACCAAAATTGAAGCATTATTCACAATAGAGAAGACATGGAAACAACCAACGATTAATAAACAAAATAAAATTATATTATAGAAAAAAATTATAGACAAAGAAAATGAAGTTAAAGGATGGAGAGATAGTATAGCAGGTAGGATGCTAGCCTTGCATGTGTCTGAATCTGGTTAAATCCTCTTATATTCTATATGAGTTCCCAAGCCCCACCAGGAATGATATCAGCACATAACCAGAATATAGCCCTGCGAACCATCAGGTGTTGCCTCAATTAAAAAAAAGAAAATGAAATTCATATAATAATGAAACATAACTGGAAAATTATTCATCCATAAAAATCATGCAATCTGTGACATGGTGGATAGATCTTTAAAATATGCTAAGAGAAAGACAATGATAAGATCTCACTTATATGTAGAATCTTAAATAAAAGGCAAAAGGGTAACACATAAAACAACAAATTAGTAAAATGGTGATTGCCAGAACTAAGGAGCGAAGGAAATGAGTTTCTGGTCAAAGGTAATGAGATGACTAAGTTCTGGAGATCTAACATACAGCGTGGTGAATCTAACAATACTATTTTTACATACATACATACTTAAAAATTGGTAAAGAATATATCTTAAACACTCACTAAAAAATAGTACTTATGTAATAGATTAATGTATATCACATAAGTACTATCACTTAGGTGATAGACTTATTGCTTAACCTTATTGTGGCAATCATTTTGTAATAAATGCATGTATTAAATTGCTATACTATCTCCCTCAAATCTGAATATTATAAATGTATTCTGAAGAGTAAAAAATTATGAAAGTATATATTGTCCTCATCCAATTATGTTAAATATATAAACATTTAAAACTTTTCTATCAGGTATATCTACATATCCTTGTTTCATTATATCAACTAATTAAAATTATGCCCAAGATCATGTGATTTCACACATAATAAAATAACCCACACATCTATTAGCATTCTTCATAATATCCCACTAAATCAATAATCTGAAAAATAGAGATTTAACATGAAATACACTAATATTCCAAATTTTTATATGCTAAAATTCTACAGCAATTACTCCCAGATCTTTGCTTATAATTCAGTTATAAAAACCACTATTTGAAGCACTTTGCTATAATTCTATTTGATAGTTTCTAAGGCAATATCTAAACATATCTGAAGTTCTATGGCAAACCACCAGAGGCATCCAGAGTCTAGAAAACTGGATTTACATTTAAAAAATGAAAAAATGGATCCAGAGAGATAACACAGGGGCTAAAATACTTATGTTCTATGCAACCCACCCTAGTTTGAGCCCCAGAACTGCATATGGTCCCTCAGTACCTCTAAAAGTGACCTCTGAGTCAATCATATGGTGTGGTCCAAAACCCCTACTCCAAAAAGAAATCTGCACATGAAATTGCTACATTTTTCAATTAACATTCTTAAAACACATGTCCTCCAAAAGCTTATAGAATTTATACATTTAAATTAAGATAGGTACTATACTTGTCATTCTCAACAGTTTGTTGATAAGAAGCAAACTGGTTCTGCATATAGTCTTCATGTTTATGAAAAACATCACAGGTTGGCTTCCAGCTATGGAAAAAATCATAAATAGCATCTCAGAATAAGAACAAAATAATATAGAAAAATTATTTTAAAATTTTTTCATTGTAAGAAAAAAAGTAAAATGGGCAGAAACAGTAGGTCAGTTTCTAGGAGCTTTTCTGTAGAATCTTTAAGGTGTTCTAAGTATAGTATCATATAGTCTGCAGATAGTGATAGTTTGACCTCTTCCTTTCCTATCTGTATTTCCTTGATACCTTTCTCTTGCCTAATTCCAATGGCCAGGACTTCTAGCACTATATTGAATAGGAGTAGCGAAAGTGGGCAACCTTGTCTTGTGCCCAATCTTAGAGGGAAGGCTTTTAGTTTTTTCCCATTTAGAATGATACTTGCCATGGGCTTGTGGTAGATGGCTTTGACTATATTGAGGAAAATTCCTTCAATGCCTATTTTGTTGAGAGTTTTCATCATAAATGGGTGCTGGATCTTGTCAAATGCTTTCTCTGCATCTATTGATACAATCATATGGTTTTTATCTTTTCTCTTGTTGATATGATGGAGTATGTTGATCAATTTCTGAATGTTAAACCATCCTTGCATCCCTGAGATGAATCCTACTTGGTCATGGTGTATGATCTTTTTGATGAGTCATTGGATTCTATTTGCTAATAGTTTGTTGAGGATCTTTGCATCTGTATTCATCAGGTATATCGGCCTGTAATTCTCTTTCTTTGTGGTATCTCTGTCTGCTTTTGGTATCAGGGTGATATTTGCTTAATGAACTTTGCTTATAAATGGATAGACACGGTTTCATGTCTATTTCATGCTACGTGAAATGAGTCAGAAAGAGAGGGACAGAAGGACTGCATTCATTTGTGGAGTATAAAACAACATAACATGAGGCTGACACCTAAGGATAGTAGATACACGGGACAGATAGATTCCCCCATAGCTGGAAGCCTGCCTCATGAGCAAAGGGGAGAAGGCAGCTGGAATAGAGAAGTGATCACTAAGAAAAAGATGGCTGGAGGAATCAGTCGGGATGGGACATGTGTGCAGAAAGTAGATAAAGGACCAAACATGATAACCTTTCATGTATTGCAAATCATGATGCCCAAAAGTAGAGAGAGATTACAGGGAATCATATCTGCCATGGAGGTAGAGGGAGGGTGGGAAAGTGGGATTATACCAGGGATGTTGGTGGTGGGGAATGTGCACTGGAGGAGGGATGGGTGTTTAATCATTTGATCACTGTGTGATTGTAACCCAAACATGAAAGTTAATAACTATCTCACGGTGATTCAATAAAATTTTTTAAAAGAATCCAAATAAAAATACTCTCAGACACATCCTAATCAGAATGATGAAAACCATAAAGAATACTGCAAGCAGAAAGATCAAAGAAGGAAAAAATATATAAACAAAGGAATTTCATTAAGTTTTACAGCAGATTTATCAAATGAAACCCTTCAGGCCCAAAGACAGTGGTGGGATATAGTAAAGAAAAAAATAACTCAATGAAATAAACACCTCACCAAAGACACTCGACCCAGTCAGACTCTCATTCACATTAGAAGGAATAATACACACAATAACTCAGATTTGAATTTTCATAGACTCAAAGCCCATCATTACAAGAAGAACTAAGGGACTCTTTAACGTGAGTCCCACTAACATGCCAAATTCCTGCAGAAAGATGGCACAAAACCCCATGACAATAATGTCTCTCAATGTTACTAGGCTAAATGCGCCAATTAAGACATGCAGAGGGGCAAAATATATTAGAAAATTGAACCCAACATTCTGCTGCCCTCAAGAAACACATTTGAATAGCCGAAGTAAGCACAGACTCAGTCAAATGCTGAAAGACAAATCTTCAAGCAAATAATCCCCTGAAAAAGATCAGGATGGCCATATTTGCATCAGATGACATAAACTTCAGGCTGAAAAAGGTTAAAAGAGAGAGTGAGTTCATGCTAGGGGAAAAGGAAGCTCAGATAGAGAAAAGAGCACCAAATAAAGGGCATTGGGAGGATCCTCCCAGGGTGGGAGAAGTATGCTGAAAGTAGACTATAGACCAAACATGATTGTCACTCAATGCCTCTCTTGCAAAACACAGGACCCAAAAAAAGAGAGAGAGAACAAGGGGGAATGCCCTGCCACAGAGGCAGGGTGGAATGGGGGGGACGGGGGTTGGGAGGGATGCTGGTGGTGGTGGTGGATGGGCACTGGTGGAGGGATGGGTACTTGATCATTGTATAACTGAAACCCAAACACAAAAATTTGTAAATCTATAACTGTACCTCATGGTGTTTCACTAATAAAAAAATTTTTTAAATAAAGAGAGAGAGAGAGAATGAATTACTTCTTAGTGGAAAGAAGTCACACTCCTAAATGTATACACACCTAATGAGGAACCAGAAAAATATTTAAAACAAGTGCTAATAAATTTGAAGACATTAATAATAACAAAATAGTAATTGAAGACATCAACACTACTCTGTCACAACTTGACAGAGTGACTAGACTAAAGCTAATTAAAGAAATACTCTCTTTGGGGCTGGAACAATAGCACAGCGGGTAGGGAGTCTGCCTTGCACAGTCAACCCAGGTTTGATTCCCAGCATCCCATATGGTCCCCCAGCTCCCCCAGCACTGCCAAGTGTAATTCCTGAGTGCAGAGCCAGGAGTAACCCCTGTGCATCGCTGGGTGTGACCCAAAAGAAAAAAAAAAGAAATACTCTCTTTCAAGGAAGAAATGGAACAGACGGGGTTAGTGTGTATATATATATATATATATATATATATATATATATATATATATACATATATATGGAGTATTTATCCAGAGAATGCAAGGATAGCTTAACATATGTAAGTCAATTAACATAATACAACATATTAATAAAAAATCATATGATCACATATAGATGGAGAGAAAGCATTTGACAAGATCCAGCACCCGCTCATGATAAAATCCTAAAAATATATGAAAATTGAAGAAGCTATCCACAAAATAGTCAAATAGTCAAAGTCATTTACCATATTTACCATTTACAGCAAATATTATACTCGATGGGAAAAAAAAACCAAAAAACCTCCCTCTAAGATTTTAGGCACAAGGCACAACAATCCAAGTGCCTGAGAGCAGATGACTGATTAAAGAAACTATGGTACAACAATACAATGGAATACTATGCAGTTTTTAGGAAAAATGAAGTCATAAAATTTGCTTTTAAGTGGATGGTCATGGAGAGAATCATGCTAAGTGAAATGAATCAGAAAGAGAGGGACAGACATAGAAGGACCACACTCATTTGTGGAATGTAAAATATAGTATGAGCCTGATACCCAAAGGCAGTAGACACAAGGGTCAGGAAGATTGCTCCACGGTTGGAAGCCTACCTCATGAGCTGTGGGAGAAGGCAGCTGGGACAGAGAAGGGATCAATGATGGTTGGAGAGATCACTCGGGATGGGAGATGTGTGTCGAAAGTAGATAAAAAACCAAACATGATGGCCTCTCAGCATCTATGTTGCAAACCATAATGACCCAAAACAGAGAGTGAGTAAGGAGGAAATTGTCTGCCACAGAGGAAAGGGTTCGGGTGTGATGGGGGTTGCAGGAGGGATACTGGGGACATTGGTGGTGGAAGAAGTGCGCTGGTGGAGGGATGGGTGTTCGATCATTGTATTACTGAAACTCAATCATGAAAGCTTTGTAACTGCATCTCATGGAGTTTCAATTATAAATAAATAAATAAATAAATAAAATCCTGCTCATAATTGTGCCTTAGAAAATCAAATACTGGGGGCTAGATTGATAGTACAACTGGTAGGGCGTTTTCCTTGCATGAGGCTGACCTGGGTTTGATTCCCAGCATCCCATATGGCCCCTCCTGCACTGCCAGGAGTAATTCCTGAGTGCATGAGCCAGGAGTAAGCCCTGCACATTGCCAGGTGTGACCCAAAAAAAAAAGAAAATCAAGTACTGCACCCACCCTTCCCTCCTATATAAAGAGGACACCCAGTTTCCCCTAGCACATAGCCCTCCTCTCAGGGTGCCTGCCCCCAGGCATTTATAAGAAAGCTTGCTCACTCACAGAGGGGGGGAAAAAAGAAAATCAAATACTTTGAAATCAGCTTAACTGAAGAGGTGAAAGACCTGTCAAAGAAAACTACAAAACGCTTCAAGAAATCAAGGAGGACACAAATAAATGGAAATACATCTCCTGCTTACGGATCTAGAGTAATATCATCAAAATGGCAGTACTCTCCCAAAGCACTGTACAGATTCAATCCAGTCTCTATAAAGTTAAAAATAACTCTCCAAGTTATTTTTTAAAGAAATAGATCAAACATTTTTTAAATTAATATGGAACAATAACACCATCACCCCCTAGATAAAGAAATCCTTGGGGAAAAAAGAAGATGGGAGGCATCACTTTCCCCAACATTAAACTGCATTATAGGGGCCAGAGCAATAGCACAGTGGGTAGGGCGTTTGCCTTGCACGCTGCCGGCCTGGGTTCGATCCCCAGAATCCCATATAGTACCCCAAGCACCGCCAGGAGTAATTCCTGAGTACAGAGCCAGGAATAACCCCTGAGCATCTCTGGGTGTGACCCAAAAAGCCAATATAAATAAATAAACTGTATTATAAAATGGTAGTAATTAAAACAGCATGGTATTGCAATAAAGACAGATCCTCAGATCAATGGAAAAGAGTTAAATATCCTGAGACAGACCCTCAGGCATATGGTCAGTTAACCTTCAATATAGGAGCAAAAAATATTAAGTGGAGTGACGAAAGCCTCTTCAACAAGTGCTGCTGGGAAAACTGATGAGCTACATGCAAAAAAGCAAATGAACTCAGACCTGTTTCTACCACATTGCACAAATGTCAAATCAAAATGGGTTAAAGACCTTGATCTTGGATCAGAATCCATAAGGAATGTAGAGTAATACACAGGCAGAACTCTCTGATATCGAAACTAAAGGCTTCTTCAAGGGTGAAACATCACTGACCAAGCAAGTGGAAGAAAAGATAAATGGAACTACATTAATTTGAGAAGCTTCTGCACCTCAAAGGAAATGATGACCAGGATACAAAGACAGCCCACAGAATGGGAGAAATTGTTTACCCAACACTCATCTGATAGGGGATTAGTATCAAAGGCACTGCTATATAGAACTTTATAGGATAAAAACATCCAACTCATCAAAAAATGGAGGCAAGAGATGAACAGAAACTTCCTCAAAGAAGAAACTAAAATGGCCAAAAGGCACATAAAAATGCTCTGTATCACCAATCACTAAAGAGATGCGAATCAAAATAACTATGAAGTCATCTCACTTCATAGAGACTGACACAGATTTAAAAAAGAAAAGAAAAGAAAAGAAAAGAACAAGAACAACCAGTGCTTAAAAAAAAAAAAGAACAAAAGAACAACCAGTGCTGGTGCAGATGTGGGGAAGAAGGGTATCTCATTCACTGCTGGTGGGAACACTGACTGGTCCAGCTTTTTGGGAAAACAGTATGAACATTCCTTTAAAAAATGAGAAACTCCTTCTGGAAAGAAAGATGGCGGCCACATGGGAGCCTTGTGGAGAGCAGGTATGAGCCGGGGGTGAGGGGGCGACTAAAACTTCATGGGAAGGGGGGCGTTCCGGCCCATCCTTCACACCCTACCGAGGTCACCAGTTGCCCCCCATGAGCAGCTCTCCGGCACGGCCACGGTCCCAGAAGCACAAGGACTTAATGCAGAATCCAGCAGCTTGGAGCAGAAAAATGAACGGACTATGCGTTAATCCACGCCACCATGCCTGCCCAAAGGGGAAAGGGTGTTGCTCCCCTCCGCCCTCTCCCCTCTGGAAAGAAAGATGGCGGCCGCATGGGAGCCTTGTGGAGAGCAGGTATGAGCCGGGGGTGAGGGGGCGACTAAAACCTCATGGGAAGGGGGGCGTTCCGGCCCATCCTTCACGCCCTACCGAGGTCACCAGTTGCCCCCCACGAGCGGCTCTTCGTCACGGCCATGACTCCAGAGAACAGAAACCAATCTCTTAATTATCTGACTCTCAGTAGAAATACTTCCAGGGTTAATAAGTAAAATAGCAGAAATCCAAAACCACACAGCCGCGATAGCGGCTGCGGGACATCATTTAATTCTTGAACCCAGCTGTAGAAAGCAAATCATTTCACAATGCTTTTACAGCATGTCTGATTTGGGGGGGGGGGTAAACTCTAAATAATAATGGTGCATCTTTTATCGAAAAAATGAATCTAGTCAAAGTAGATAGAGTGTTAACTAGAATTCATCTGCCTCACAGGCATGGGGGGGGTTATTGGGGTTCTTCGTGGTGAAAAATAAGTATTGGTAAAGGGAAATGTGTGATATTTGCATGACCAAGACCTAAACCTGAAAGCTTTGTAACTTTTCCCACAGTGATTCAATAAATAAATAAATTATAAAAAAAAAAAAAGGGAAACTGAGCTTCCATATAATCCAGCAATACTACTGCTGTGAATATACCCCAGGGGCCCAAAGACACAACGCAGAAAAGTCATCTACACTCCTATGTTCATTGCAGCACTATTCATAATAACCAGAATCTGGAAACAACCCAAGAGCCCAAATACAGATGAGTAGATAAAGAAACTATGGTATATCTACAAAATTTAATGCTATACAGTCATTAGGAAAAATGAAATCATGAAATCTGCTTACACATGGATGGATATGAAGATTATCATGCTGAACAGAAATGAGTAAGAGGGAGAGGAACAGATGCAGAATGATCACACTGTTCCTAGTGTTCACTCATATAGATATACCAAAGTTCATTTAATTGATAACCCAGTGTTGAACATTAATTTCTTTAATGGTCTTCCTACCATGAATATATTTGAAATAAACACTTTATTATTATACCTTTGAGAAAATGCCTAATTATATCCTTATGAAAAATTCTCAGAAATAAACCATTTAATCAGATGTTAAAGTTTTATTTTAACTTTTAAAAAGATATATTGACTAAGGAATAGTTTAAGTTAGCATTCATCAGTTGCTGGTCCACAAAGTGGTAGAGCAGGGCTTTTAAACTTTTTCCACTCACAACCCCTTTTTGTGCTGACAGTGCTCCCAGAAATACATCGGAATTATAATGTCACTGATTCTGAATTAATGATTCTGAGTTTTTTGGCTATTACATGTTCAGAATACTTTTACTGTTCCAAGATTTTTCAAGACCTCCCCCTATACTTAGTTATGTAACCCCTATAAAGTTACGAACCACAGTATAAGAAGTCTGGTGGAAGAGTACATGCCTAACACGTTAGAATATAATGCCAAGTGCCATGTGCACATGTCTAACATGTTACAGGCCCTGGCACCACATGACTCCCACAAGCACTATGTATAGTATTGAACCATCAGATCCCCTAGGTCCAGTATCACCAAGAGTGGCCCTAAGCCCTACCCCAAGACATCTGTGTATGGCCTCTATAAAAAATTACATATATATAATATATATATATATAAAATATACTGACCTGTCACTTCAAAAGTAAATTAATCCCACAGTGTATGATGAGAGTTGATTTTTTCACTACCTGAATAACACTGGTACTTTTGCTTGCATATACGTAAATGCAAAAAAATCGGCATCACTGACGAGACCCTGTGTTGCCGCCCAGGAACATCTCCTCCAGCTACTTATTGAGCTCCTTAAAGGCCATGATCCCAGAGACACACAAACAAATCTTGGAACCCAGTGGCTTTGGGCAGAATCCCTCCAGACTTAATTATTAAAACTTCAGAATTCCAAAATCATATGCTCTTCATAATCAGCAATAGAAAAACAAATTATCTAATGACGCCTTTTCAGCAGGTCTGATTATTGGGGGAAAAATCCAAATAATAATGGTGGGTCTTTTGTCAAAATATTAAATGTAATCAAAGTACAGAGAGAGAGTAAAGTGGAAATCATCTGCCACACAGGCAGGGGGAAGGTTGGGATGACTGGGGTTCTTGGTGGTGGAAAATGTGCACTGGTGAAGGGAAGGGTGTTTGATCATTGTATGACCAAGACTTAAACCTGAAAGCTTTGTAACTGTTCTTATGGTGATTAAATAAATAAGAATAATAATAATTTTTAAAAATCGACATCATTGGGTTGGAGCAATAGTTCAACAGGCAGGGCTCTTGCCTTGCACAAGGCCAAACCATGCTTGATCCCTGGCATCCACTGTAGTCCCCAAGCACCAATAAAAGTGATGCATGAGTGTAGAGCCAGGAGTGGCCCAACAACTAAAACAACAAAAAATTAGCAGTATTGTTGCTTACATTTGGATAACTTTATTAGTAAAATACGTTCACATACTTATAAAACTTACATACTCCATTTTATTATTTGCCTGCTTACTTTCTTTACCCCTTTATTCTAAGAGGGCTTTTTTCTTCTTAATAATTTCTATATTTTTATATTTTTAAAATTAGCCTTTACTAGGGGCTGGAATGATAGCACAGCAGGTAGTGCATTTGCCTTGCATGCAGCCAACCTGGATTCCTCCACCCCTCTTAGAGAGCCCGGCAAGCTACCGAGAATATCCCGCCGGCATGGCAAAGCCTGGCAAGCTCCCTGTGGCGTATTCGATATGCCAAAAACAGTAACAACAAGTTTCACAATTTGTTGTGAGACATTACTGGTACCCACTTGAGCAAATTGATGAACAACGGGAAGACAGTTCAGTGCAGTGCTACAGCCTTTACTAGAGATTTCCCAACTTTATCTTTGACTCATATCATTTGGGTGTGTTTTTCCTTTAAACTTGTATTCAGTCATATAATGCTTTTATAAGACTTCTACCTTTGTTGACATACGTTAAAAGATTATTGTGACACTTACATTTTCTTCAAGTGCTTTCAAGAATCCTATTTCACATATCTCTCTAGCCATTTAGCAAAGAGACAGGACTAACCCACCCCCTAAGGTAAAGGTAAAGGTAAAGGCCCTCCCGTTGATCGTCGATTTGCTCGAGCGGGCCCAGTAACGTCTCCATTGGAGACTTTGTTGTTACTGTGTCTGGCATATCGAATACTCTCGGTAGCTTGCTGGGCTCTCCGAGAGGGGCGGAGGAATCGAACTCGGGTCGGCCATGTTGGCCGCTTGTAAGGCAAATGCCCTACCCGCTGTGCTATCGCTCCAACCTGTGCTATTGCTCCCCTCCAAAAAATTCCAGTTACTTTCCCTCCTTTTGAGGGGAGGGCATATCAGTGATGCTCATATCCTGGCATACTCAGGGACCTTACAGTACTGAGGATAAAACCAGGGCCTCATAACATGCAAAGCATGCACTCGGATGGTTGAGCTCGCGCTCTCTCTCTCTCTCTCTCTCTCTCTCTCTCTCTCTCTCTCTCTCCCCCCGCCTCTCCAGTCTGTTTGTGCCATACTCAAGGTGCTCAGACCATATGCTGTGCCAGGATTCCAAACAGTATTGTCACCCAGCTACATGCTAGGCAAGTGCCTTAACTTTTGTACTATCTCTCCAAGTGCCTCCAACATGTTGTTTTCACATAAAAAAATTATTTCTTATATTTATTGATTTTAATATTGGAGCTTTACTATCTAATCAATTTCATCTCAAGAATTCTATCAACAGCTGTGGCTTTTGTCCACGTTAAAATAAATAATTTTTTTAAATTCTTAAACCTATCGATATTTTATTTTCTCAATTTATCATAGCCTACATTCCTTCTACCCCTTGATTGCAACTAACAGTTGAAAATAAGGCAATGGAAGACTTGAGCAAATATAAACTACAACTTTAAAACAAGTATCTTTAACTATAAACTCAGAAACCTTAAAGAATCTAGTGATTATTAAACAACACCTATTTCTTTAAAATACTCACTTATTACAGTTGTCCTTGATATCCTTACTATGTTCATGGTAATAACCAATTTCCTCATCTGTACTGTTTATAGTTTCATGTATTTTATCAATACTTGCTCTGTTTTCTTTAATATTTTCAAAGCACTCTGGAAGAGGAGATATTTTCTCTTAAAAGTGTAAATCGCAAATTAAAAATAAATTTGTTTTTTAAAAATGAGTATGTCAACTTACCTAAAAGAGAATCTTTACTAGAACAAAAAGCTATGAATTTGTGTTGAGCAGTAAATATTTCTTCATCTTTAACACTGAGGGCTATATATGAGATCAACGGCATTTATGCACACATTTCTTCACAAATTATACTAACATGAGTTTTGTTTTTGAAAAATGGAAAATTTTTATTAATTCCACGCCAATTAATTAATAAGAGTACCTTCAACCCACTTATTTTGACGTAAGTAGAAGGTTAAAAATTTTAATTTATTCTATTCATTTTTGTCACAGGAAAGGTAAGAAACTGTCTTCTCAGAGCTAGAATGAATGGTTTGTTTTCTTTTGTTGGTTTCTATGTAGGCCTTAAAGTACTGTATTTCTGTTTTTTGTGTGTGTATTTGTATTGCTTTACCTTTTCACTAATATTAATTTTACAATTATTATTCTTAAAAATGCATGTCTATAAATCCTGACCTTTCTTTGATGATTTCTAGAAAGATTAAACTTTCACTCAAATTGGGTTTTTTTCTTGCAATTTTTTAATACTTTATTTTCATAAAGTAGTTCACAATAGTTCATTGCTCACTCAAATTGTTTTAAACAATCTGTGATATTTAAGAGCTATAACATTTTCTTTTTGGTTTTTGGACCACACTGTGGTGCTCAGGGCTTACTTCTGGCTCTGTGATCAGGGGTCACGCCTAGAAATAACATTTTCAACTGCACGGAAGAGGTCATTTCTGGTTAAAGCAAAATTCTTCCATAGAAAATAATTCAATGATGAATGCAGCAATTCATCACTGAAAAACTGCAACTAAGGTGAATAGCTCATTAATAATCATTAAATAGAACTGGCATGTAAGTCACCACTATGTTAGCCCAAAAAAGGCCACTAACACATTACCTGACACACCAATAAAAAGTTAAGACTAAAAGAACTTTACCACGCAAAACTACTTACTATTAATTCGATGCATCAGATCTTCTTTAGCACTTTTATCTTGTTCATACTGGAAAACTAAAATAATTCTTTCGTGAATTCACCCGCCAAAACATTCCATGAAAATACAAAGAGCTACCTACTTCATTTTCACTTGATACCTACCAAATTCTAGCAACAGCTTGTCCAAACAGACAAACAGGGAGTCATTCATCTTGGGTACTGTATTTAAAAAAAAAAAAAATTAAAACAAATCATTTTTTTCCCCCAGAATTGCCTCTTTTCAAGAATCAACTTCCAGAGCTCAGCAATTCCCCCGAGAAAATGGCATGCGTGACACTGGCCTGGGGAGCCTTCACAAACAGCGACACGGGGCAGTGTCCTAAATCTGTGAATCTTCCAGAGTCCACAGGGCTCCCTCGCCCGCCCCTCAAGACTCGACAACGCCAGGTCAGTCGCCTCCCTCGCGCATCCACCGCGACGGTGGTGGCACGACCCGAGAGCGCCCTGCCCTGCGGCAACCGGGTTCAAACCCTCGACTGTGGAATATGCCCTCGCGGCGTGGGGGCTAAAAGTGGGGAGATTCCGCTAGGGAAATTCCTCAGCTAGAGCGAGGGCCAAACCCACAGACGCGGAGCGATCTTCCGACGAATATTCTGTCACCGAGAGTTTCAAAGGGGCGCGCGGCTCACGGGCCCGCCCAGTCTCCTGACCAAACACACCCGCCTGAGGCGGGGCTGGTCACCCCCACGCCAGAAGCACAATCCGACGGGCCGTTAGTCGCCCCCACGAGCCCAGGGCCCTCCCGGGGCGCCACTGCCCGGCGCGGCAGTGCCCACGGCCTCGAGCCTCGCTGCGTCCCACGACGACAGGGGACCAGCACGAGCCCGGAAGCCTCCGGAACGCCGTCTCGGGGGTCTCCCCAGGCCACACATAGACACCCCCCGCCCGCCCCCGACACCCCTGCCCGGAAAGTCCCCCCGCCCGGGGAAAGACCACCTCACAGGGCTCCCTCGCCCGCCCCGCTCCTCGGCCCCTCGAGGGCTCCTAGTCCTCGCCCCTCCTTCGCCGCTGATCCCAGACGCCACTCACGGTCCGGGAAGCGGGGACCCGAGCACGGCTCCTCGAGCTACTCGAAATCGCGCCTCAGCCAGGCCGAGCGCGCCGCGCGAGGGAGAGATCGCGCGCGCGAGAACTAGATCACACTCCCCGCGAGACTAGGAGTCCCCTCGAGACCGGCCCAAGGGCGATCACGCCTTCCTCCCGGAACCCGGCGGCCACCCGGCTCCTGCCACGCCCCGGAATGGGGGCTAGAGTCCAAAAGGAGCGGAGAACGTGTCAGGGACTCCTCTTGAAGACAAAAATAGCTCAATTAAATAAATACATACGTAAATAAGACTATTCAGTCCTTTTCGTAACAATGGTCTGGAAATATTTTGGAGAATAATAATGAAAATAATAAGAACTTTAACATGAGACTCAAAAACAATTGAAACCATCATCATAATGTAATTTCGCATTGAGCAGGTGTTCTTCAAATTTTGAAATGTCTAACAGTTCCAATTTATTTTCTCTCACCGTTTTGTTAATGACTCCTTATTTAGTTTAAGATAAAGTGCACATTAACCAATTCTGTTGCCATCGTATATATACATGGTGTATATGTACATATTGTATATGTGTGTATATGTACACACACATATACTCATACACACACACCATCTGCTCTATTAACAGTCTTTGTAGTCAGATAGGATCCAACTATGTTTCTGACATTTATTGAGTTTCTTGCATTTATTAAGTAAGCTTAGAGCAAATTTCTTAACATAATCTTCAGTTTCCTCAAATGTAAAGTGAGAACCAACAATTCCAATATATTAGCTTTTGTGGCACTGTATTTACCTGATTATTCTCGTAGCTCTGATAATTTAGATTTCTACTCTTTATAGTCATCTTCTTCTACTCAGTCATTAAATGTTATAATTTACTTAAGATTGGTCCTTTCTCACTCTATCCTCTTAAATATCACATTCCTATCTACAGCTTTCAATACAATCAAACACCCATGACTCAAAAATTTCTGTCACTGATGAGGATCTCTAACATCAATTCCAGTTATTAACAGCAAATAATAGAAATTGATACTGGTTTAAGCAAAAACAAAATTTGTTTAAAAAATTACTGTGTACCACAAAAATGCCCAGAATAGCTACAGAAAAGGTTTAGGGTCAAAATAGCATAGAACAATACCCAAACTCATACCACAGAACTGGTGGTGAAGACATCACCAGTTGCACTATGCACTAACAGCTGTATCTCATACCACTACCACCAGCATTAAAATGCTCCGATTTCACACTATCACATTATCCTACAAACTTGGTCTTATTTCAGTGTCATCATTTTCAGAAAGGATTCTTTCTGGGGCACATTGTTGTGTGTCACTCATTCCCAATTCAAACATTTGACATTTGATTGGTACATTTTTGGAGAAACCTAAGCCACATGCTCCATCTCATTTCTCTCAGACTCTGATATTCATACATATTCAAAACATACGTGGATTTAAATTCTGGGAGTCTACAGGATGGGAGATGCATGTTGAAAGTAGACTATGGACCGAACATGACTGCCACTCAATGCCTCTTTTGCAGACCACAACATCCAAAAGGAGCGAGAGAACAAAAGGGAATGACCTGCCACAGAGACAGGGTGGGATGGGGGGCATGGGGGTGGGAGGGATACTGGGATCCATGGTGGTGGAAAATGGGTACTGGTGGAGGGATGGGTATTTGATCATTGTATAATCGAAACCCAAGCACAAAAATTTGTAAGTCTACAACTGTACCTCATGGTGTTTCACTAATAAAAATTTTTTTTTAAATTCTGGGAGTCTAAATAATAGCAACATTCACAATGCCTATCTTCTGAGTTCTAAACTCACATCTAATTGCCTATCTGATAAGCCAAAACACAGCCCATGTTATTCCTTCACTAAACCTGAGCCTTTTTCATTATCTCTCTTTTCATACTTAGAAGGACTATTTGTATATATGCATCAGACTTGACAATCTTTCTCTCCCATCATCCCCCATATTTAATCTATCATAGACTCTATCATCTTTCCCTCTTAAATATCTATAAAGTTCATTCATTTTTTTCCATCTCAATAGCCACCATCTTAGTCCCATTATTCTCACCTGGATTATTGTATATGGCTTCAAAACTGATTTTGTTTGTATACTCTGGCTCTCTTACTCATTATCCATCTGTGCTGCTATAGAGTGACTATAAAATACAAAGTTAATTCTCTCATTCACAAACACATACATTAAAACATTTCTCTGTTGGGGCTGGAGCGATAGCACAGCGGGTAGGGTGTTTGCCTTGCACGCAGCCAACCCGGGTTCGATTCCCAGCATCCCATATGGTCCCCCGACCACCACCAGGAGTAATTCCTGAGTGCATGAGCCAGGAATAACCCCTGCGCATCGCCAGGTGTGACCCAAAAAGCAAAAAAAAAAAAAAACCAAAAAAAAATTTCTCTGTCTATTGCTATATTTAAAATATAAAGGACAATTCTTTTTTTTTAGATTTTATTTTTTTTATTAAAAAAAATTTTTAATAGTGAGACATCATGAGGTACAGTTGCAGACTGACACATTCTTGTCCTTGGGTTTCAATTATACAATGATAAAGTGCCCATCCCTCCACCAGTACCCATTTCCCACCACCACGGATCCCAGTATCCCTCCCACCCCCCATCTCCCCCATCCGAGTGCTACTAAATTTTTTTAAATTTTTTTTTACAGTTGTAGATTTACGATTTTTTGTGCTTGGGTTTCGATTATACAATGATCAGATACCCATCCCTCCACCAGTGCCCATTTTCCACCACCATGGATAATATCCCCCCACCCCCATCCCCCCATCCCCCCCTGCCTCTGTGGCAGGGCAATCCCCTGTGTTCTCTCTCTCCTTTTGGGTGTTGTGGTCTGCAAAAGAGGCATTGAGTGGCAAACATGTTCAGTCCATAGTCTACTTTCGACATGCATCTCCCCTCCTGGGAGGATCCTCCAAACACCCTTTATTTGGTGCTTCCTTCTCTATCTGAACTGCCCATAAAGGACAATTCTTAGCTCGATTTATAGGGTCTATCCCTATCCATCTATAAATGTACATATTACACTAACTACCTTCCTCTCAGCAACAGGTCTTTTAGTTCGATCTTTATTTATTTATTTATTTATTTGCTTTTTGTTTTTGTTTTTGTGGTCACACCTGGTGATGTTCAGGGGTTACTCCTGGCTCTGGATGATGCTCAAGAATTACTCCTGGTGGTGCTCAGGGAACTTTTTGGATACAGGAGATCAAACCCTGGTCAGCTGCATGCAAGGCAGACACCCTACCGCTGTACTTTTGCTCCGGCCCCTCTTTCAGTTCTTAGTATGCTTCATCAAAGGAATATTGCACTTACTGGTTCCTCACTCTGTATTGCTTTTTTTTTTAAATCTATTTCATGATCTGATCATTCTTCAACTCTCAACTCAAGCAGGGCTGGAGAGATAGTGCAGTGGATAGAACTCTTGTCTTGATTGCAGCCAAACCCAGTTCAATTCCCAGTATTCCATATGGTGCCCCATGCACTGCCAAAAGTAGTTTTTGGGTGCAGAGCTGAGCCAGGAGTAACCCCTGAGCACTGCCATGTATGGCCTCAAAAAAAAAAACCTCAATCCAAGCCTCATAGTATTAGCAATTCCCATTATAAATTAAGTGAACATACTTATGCTTTGTAGCTTTTAACATGATGATAATTTTTCACTATTTGTATAATTAACATATAAATCTGTATTTCATCCATTGCAGTCGTGGTCCCATGAGAATAGACCACGTCCCTATTGTCCTCCACCCCCAACATATAGAATCATCTTGGCAGTAGGTGAATATGTTAAAGCAGTAGCTTACCACAGTAGCCAATTCAATTCACAAGCAACTCCAAGGGAATAAACGCCATTTCATTCTAAGAATAGTCCTTATAGGGAAAACACATAGGAGAGGGTGTGAAGCAATGTAAATCCTCCAATTTAAATTAATACATATGAATGACTATCATGTTAGTAAAAAAAAAAAAGAAAAAAAAAGCCAGCCTTGAAATGTGCCAGTTTCCAAATATGCATGGTTAAATTTGCATTTCAATATGAGAACAAAAAAAAA